TTAAATTCGGCTTTCCCTTAAATTTCATAAGGCCGATAATATAAAATCTTCATGGAAGCTGGTTTTCAGTAATGATTAATGGGGGACTGGTTGGTTTTTTTCCAATCTTCCAGAGGCATTAAACAAGGTGATCCTTTGTCTCCTTATCTATTGATTATAGTTTCAGAAGTCTTGACTAGAAAGCTTAATGATTTGGTGGAGAATCGGAAGGTGGCAAAATATGGCACTCCTGCGGGTTCATTGCCGGTTTCTCATTTGGCTTTTGCAGACAATGTGATTATTTTCTCTAGAGCTTTGAAAACATCATTACAAGCTTTGAATGATTTTTTCTCAGATTATGAATGTGCTTTGGGGCAAAAATTAAATAGGGAAAAAAGCTCTTTTATGGTGTCAGAGGATTGTCATCCTAGGAGGGTGGCTATGCTACAAGGAATCTTGGTGTTCAGAGAGGTTTACTCCCATTTACCAATCTTGGTTGCAAGGTATTTCAAGGTCGACGCAAAGCTTCTACCTTCCAATTTATTTTGGATAGCATAGACAAGCGACTTTTGAGTTGGAAGAATAAATTATTGAGCCAAGGAGGGCGGTTAATATTGACAAAGCATGTGTTGTTTTCAATTCCATTAAATGTTTTCTTGGCCATTCCGCCTCCAAAATAAGTACTTAAGGCAATTGAGTGCAAGTCTCAAAGGTTTATTTGGTGTGGCTCAAGTGAAGAAAATAGAAGGCATTGGGCTTCATGGAGTAGAATTACTTTCCCGGTTGCTGAGTGGTGGGTTGTCGAAGCCCCCAAAATAAATACCAACTTAAACTGTAGATAGGATAAGCCGGGTCGATCCCACAGGGACGAGTTAAACTTCAAATAACAGGAAAACAAACAAGAACACAATAGTTGCAGAGTGTCACTCACTTGCACGAGTGGTAAAGTCACTCACACAAGTGGCTCTGCAGAATTGAAAACAAACAAAGACAAATGAAACCTCACTCACGGGAGTGAGAATTCCGACTCAAGGGACTGACTCAACAAACTAGATATTCATTCTCTTTTCCCTATGTAATCAAATTGTAATCTTGCACTCTTTTGGTATGAATTCATGCTCATTCAGGTACTATATATCTCTAAGTCACTTCCGATTTTCCCTAGAGGTATCTTTATGAACTCAATTAAACTATTTTCCAATGATTAATCAAGTCATAAAGTCATTAAGTTTTCAAGCCTTATATGAATGCTTATGCTAACCAAGTATATTCCTATCTCAATTAGAACCTTGGACTGTTACCTCCAAGTCAAATAAGTTGAAGCTAAATGATTCTTAACCTTGTTTACCCTTCCGGGATTCACTTAGTTCTGTGCACAATCAATCAAATGGCCAATTTAATCAAGAGGTAGATGAAAGCTTTAACTTCAAAACACAAAATCATCCGAACGCATTCACAAACTTAAACTACATAGGTTCCAGAGAATGAAATCTAATTAACTACACATACAAACTACAGAAAATACAATAAAAGAAGGCAAGCATTGAGAAGAAGCAAATCTGGATGGCTGAGTAACAGGTCACTCGTCACTCAGGCAAGTGAGGTCTGTTACTCCTCTTTTGCTACTACTGGACTTCTTCTTCTTGGAGTTTCTTGATCTCCTCTCCGGTCTCTTCTTTTTTCTCTGTTGTGTTTTGTGTGTTGTATGTCCTCTGATGTCCGTTTTTCTGCTGGGAATGCAGCCCCCTTTATAGAGCTTGTTGCCGGTTCTTCTTCCAAGAGAGTCTCACCATGCTTATGTACTTTTTATTAACCCCAATGCGTTGTGTCTTGAATCCAATTTTGACTGGCCTTTTCCTCTTCTTCCAGCAGTGGTATCAGCTGCAGCATTGATCAATGTGGGTGGTTGGTTCTTCATTCAAGGGGACAAGCATGTTCTTTAGTTTCTGTTGTGGGACACCCTTATTAACTCCCAATGTGTCTTGTGTCTTGGAGTTGCTTTTTGACCAACTCAGCCCTCATTTTAAATTGGAATCAGCAGCCCAATGATTGCTCCATAAGCCCCCATTTTCAGCATTTGTTCACTCCGGTCCTCACCTATTTAGAAACACAAAACTAGCTAAGTAAAATGAACAAAGCCTAAGAAACACCCCTAATTTCTAACTAATTAAAGAGCGAAATTGCAATGATTTTATGTAATAATTTGACCGTTATCAACTCCCCCAAACTGGAAGAATTGCTTGTCCTCAAGCAAAACAATCTAACCCCTTAAGAACTACACATAGAAACAAGAAAACAATAGCTAACCACTGACTCCCCTGAGTGAAAATGTGACTCAGGCAAGTGACACTACTGACTCTCCTGAGCGACAAAAGTCACTTAGGCAAGTGATACTGCAACAAACACACAAGAACTTCACAGCAACTACCAAACATAACTAGTTCATATGACAATCAAATACAGCATATCAGATGCAAGAAAAACAAGTATATCTTCATCCAAATTTGAATTTCACCTAGTCTTTACGAAATCACCTCCGTATGTGTGTGAGTTATGCCAAGTATGCAAAGTAACAAATTAGTATAAGGTAAATAACAGCTCATGGTGCATACTTAGAAATTTCTTAGCCTTATGACTCATTCTTTCTTACCACAATCATGCTAATGTGGCCAATACAGCCTCAGAGATATAAGGACTCTCACAATTCATTTCTTTTCAACTATTCTCCCTCATTCCCTTTTATTTACCTCCGAGTCTTTTGGCCTTTTCTATTTATGACTCATGATTCTTTTTCTTTCCAACTTCCGACCCCTCCTACCATGAGCTTTCGATAGGAGATTTTGCTTTCCAGGCCAAAGGATCACTCATTGTTGCCATTTCACTCTAAGGGATTTAGCATTGATGCTCTACCTTATACTCCCTCAAGTTCTTTTGAACTTTTTATGTACTCATTTTTGAGCATTCCGCCTACCAATTCCCAAAGAAGGTATTAGAGAAGCTTATTTAAGCTTGCCTTAGTCAACTCTTTAGCATGTAAACAAACCACAATTCGCATTCAAGTGGTAGTAAGAAAAGTCATTTAAACATTTTTAACCAATTTAGAACACCACAGTGCATGCTATAAAACTCAACTTCAATGTAACTAAGCATAAAAGGCATGTGTGCTTAAGTAGTGTAGAGATGATAACCAAGAGTTAGGTAAAATCAAATTTGAATTAGATATAAGAAATTAAGTACATTGGTCTTCATAGATATCCAATCATCATAGAACTAGGATTCACAAAAATCCGAAAAAAATTTTAAACATATTCCCTACTACTTCCCTAAACTTATTCAAAGCATTGTCCTCAATGCTAAAAAACACATAACATAAAATAAAAAACACAGAACACAAAAAAAAATGAACACAAAAGAAAAAAAAAATGCAGAAAAATGAAAAAATGTGTAGTCACTCGCAGGAGTGATATTCTCATTCCGGTGAGTGAGGTAGAGGACTGATGACTTCCCTGAGTTAGAGCAATTAAAATGGATGACGAGGGCTTAATGGTGCACATCATTCATCATATGCGTTTGATGGTTTGGAAACTCTCGGTTGTGTTGAACATCAGAACACAACAAAGATTCAACAGCAATATGGAAGAGTTCAGAATTTTTATTTTTTTTTCATTGCCACTCGCTGGAATGACTTTGGTCACTCGCGTGAGTGACTCTGCTGTCCTTCTTTAGCTGCAAATTTAGTTTTCTCAAATACCAAGAATTAGAATTGAAACACAGATTGAAGATATCAGAAATTAAGCTCATGAAGTTCCTTGGTTCATACGGTTAAGAACATAGACTAGAAAGCAACAAACGAAATCACTATAGTTCCATAAACAGATTCAGCTTTTAAGATCGTAACTCAGAAATAACTAGGTGACTCATATGCACTCAAACATACTAATTCTGAAAATTATAACAAAACTTGCTAGATATGGCATCAATGTTCATAAAGATATTAGAATTTTACCCCAGACTAAAGCCTAGCAAGTACACATTAAGCACATAAAATTTCAGAATTAACGAGCTACTAAGGGATATGACATAATGATGTCTCAAGAACCTAGAAGAAAGAAAACATGAAGGTAAAACAAAATATATGGGTATGTATAAATTGACTTCAAACATCAAGTAGGTTCAGAGTCACTTTGCCGAGTGACATGAGTCACTTCCCAGAGTGTCTTAGAACTTTCAGCAGTAAACACACAAAATTTTAAAGTCAACAACTTCAGTTTTCAAAATTCCCATGTTTAGTTTAGAAACAAAATAAACTAACGATAATCATGCTGGAATAGACATCAATTCTCCCAAACATAAAATAAAGCACAGATCCTATGCAGACTAAAAGAAATCGAAAGCAAACTAGTCACAGCACTCAGCTTGTTGCAGGCACACTTGGGAGAGTGACTATTCTCACTTTCCAGAGTGACTGATATCAGAATCTGCTGCATTTTTGGATTACCAATTGAATTGAGATGGCATTTATACTTCTTGTGCACATGGAAGCACACACATTAAACAAGAAAAAATTAAAATCACACAAAAACAAACTAAAAGGAAAAGAACATGGGTTGCCTCCCATGAAGCAAGCAAAACGTTGAAATGCAAGATGCATTCCATAATCAACTCTTATGGCTTCAAGTCACTCAGAATAGCCATCTTGATACCACAAGAATGTGCCATCAATCAGCCTATCATGCCTCCAGGAAGCATACTTTTGAATCATCCAACATAGAGGAAAATCTTTCTTGCTCCACTCTTCCAACACTTTGGAGATTTTCTCGGCTTGAAATTGATCAAAATCAACCATCTCTTCTTGCGCTCCCCAAGTATGTTTACATTTGACTCCATCAACATGACCCTCATCAATGGAGATTGTTGACTCTTCTTCATTCATCAAGGTACCTATAAATCCCAAGTCAACCACCTCTTCATTTGGAGGATAAGTCTCATCAATTTTTAGCACATCCACAATTTCTACTAGCTCACTTGAGTGAGTATGGTGGTGGAGGAAGTATAGGTAGCGGCTGCAGTACCACCTCCTTTGGTTCATCTTCTACATCATTGTCCTCCATTGATGAGATTACTTTCTCATGAGCTTCTTGTCTCTCTCTTCTTGAGTTGTTGTCAATTATAGTTTGGAGATGAAGACTCATTCGTTCAGTACTTTGAACAAGCTCATTTAGCATATCTTTCATCTCTTGGAACTCTTTTTGGCGTTGTGCTTCTTGCATTCTTTGGATTGCCAAATCTGTTCTATGTCGCATCTGCAACACTTCTTCGTATATCTCTTCCATCTCGATTCGGCGTTGCATCTCTTTGTCCTCATAGCAAGAATACATTGGTGGAGTACAGTAGTTGCAATCCTGCTCATAAGAGTAAAAATCATTAGTTGCATAACAAGGATTAAAACTACAATAAGGTGCATTATGTTGGTTATCATTCCAATCATATGAATTTCCTATATATAAAGGATAATCTGCCATCAAACTTCAGAGTTGGCACACTCTTTTCAAATCAGAAAATTAAAAGAAAAGAAACAAAACCAAAAAAATGGTTAAAAGAAGTTTTTCGCCATCCCCAGCAACGGCGCCACTTTTGGTGGGTTGTCGAAACCCCCAAAATAAATTACCAACTTAAACTGTAAATAGGATAAGTCGGGTCGATGCCACAGGGACGAGTTAAACTTCAAATAACCGGAAAACAAACAAGAACACAATAGTTGCAGAGTGTCACTCACTTGCACGAGTGGTAAAGTCACTCACATAAGTGGCGCTGCAGAACTGAAAACAAACAAAGACAAATGAAACCTCACTCACGGGAATGAGAATTCCGACTCAAGGGACTTACTCAACAAATGGATATTCATTCTCTTTTCCCTATGTAATCAAGTTGTAATCTTGCACTCTTTTGGTATGAATTCATGCTCATTCAGGCACTTATATATCTCTAAGTCACTTCCGATTTTTCCTAGAGGTATCTTTATGAACTCAATTAAACTATTTTCCAATGATTAATCAAGTCATAAAGTCATTAAGTTTTCAAGCCTTATATGAATGCTTATGCTAACCAAGTATATTCCTATCTCAATTAGAACCTTGGACTGTTACCTCCAAGTTATAAGTTGAAGGTAAATGATTCTTAACCTTATTTACCCTTCCGAGATTCACTTAGTTTTTTGCACAATCAATCAAATGGCCAATTTAATGAAGAGGTAGATGAAAGCTTTAACTTCAAAACACAAAATCATGCAAATGCATTCACAAACTTAAACTACATAGGTTCCAGAGAATGAAATCTAATTAACTACACATACAAACTACAGAAAATACAATAAAAGAAGGCAAGCATTGAGAAGAAGCAAATCTGGATGGCTGAGCAACAGGTCACTTGCCTGAGTGACAAAGGTCACACAGGCGAGTGAGGTCTGTTACTCCTCTTTTGCTGCTACTGGACTTCTTCTTCTTGGAGTTTCTTGATCTCCTCTCCGGTCTCTTCTTCTCTCTCTGTTGTGTTTTGTGTGTTGTATGTCCTCTGATGTCCGTTTTTCTGCTGGGAATGCAGCCCCCTTTATAGAGCTTGTTGCCGGTTCTTCTTCTAAGAGAGTCTCACCATGCTTGTGTATTTTTTATTAAACCCAATGCATTATGTCTTGAATTCAATTTTGGCTGGCCTTTTCCTCTTCTTCCAGCAGTGGTATCAGCAACAGCATTGATTAATGTGGGCGGTTGGTTCTTCATTCAAGGGGACAAGCATGCTCTTTAGTTTCTAATGTGGGACACCCTTATTAACTCCCAATGTGTCTTGTGTCTTGGAGTTGCTTTTTGACCAACTCAGCCCTCATTTTAAATTGGAATCAGCAGCCCAATGATTGCTCCATAAGCCCCCATTTTCAGCATTTGTTCACTCCGGTCCTCACCTATTTAGAAAAAACAAAACTAGCTAAGTAAAATGAACAAATTCTAAGAAACACCCCTAATTTCTAACTAATTAAAGAGCAAAATTGCAATGCTTTTATGTAACAATTTGACCATTATAACTGAGAATGAATTGGGTATAAGAAAATTCCAGGGGGTTATTGATGCTTTGTCAATCAAGCTTTGGTGGAAGTTGAAGCAAAAAAGACGTATATGGAGCAAGTTCATCCACTCTTTGTCCAAGTCGGCTAAGGAAAAAACATCTTTGCAGCGTATCTCCAAATTAAAACGGCGCGCGGTTGGGAACACCAAAACCATCATTGGCCGAGGTGAAAAATCTTTTTGGTGGGATAATTTGTCTCCTTTTGGTGCACTTTGGGATATTGAAGGTGAGGAACATCCATTTCCGGATTTATGTATTCGGGACTTCTTCCAAACAAGCAAGAGTTTCTCCCTCAAATACAACACTTGCCTGTTAATGAGGTGTCTAGGTTTCTTGCGGATCATGAGCAGGTTTTTGTTGATGGAGATGACTTGTTAATGTGGCAACATACCTCAACAGGAGAATTTTCGATTAAAACCTCTTATGAAATTGTTTGAAGAAAAGAAGATGATAGCAATCTCATAGACGAAGTAAATTTCGTTAATGCAACCATCAACAAGAAAGTACGAAGATAATTTTGTCTATCCCGTGAAACTCAAAAGAGTGCGAAAAATTTACAGTAAGACGATCCTTTATCTAAGTGATTCTATCTCTTAACTCAAACCAAGCAAAGAACACATTATCCATGAAAGACTCGAATTAAACAACAACCCACGCTAAGAATAGCAAGGACACCATTCAATATACTCGATCAGTTATCTATCAAGAGACTCAAGAAAGGTAGGATCAAACAATGCCCAACTATGAAGGAATACTATTGATTAGTAATCTTCATAACCAACCAAAGATATGCAACACATACACTATCTCAAAATGCTTATGCCAAAGCACAACTCATCCAACAAAAGTAGGACAAACCCCACAATGGATCTCATGAACACATTCATCATGAAATTCGAACACCAAGCCAAAGGAAAGGCTCATCAATCGAACTACTAGAAGTAGTATGAAAATAAGAAGTTTAGTTTTAAAACAATTCTATCAAGAAACATACTTGAAAAAGAACGGTTTCTGCAAGATCAAAAAGATCCAAGACAAGATGAAAACCCTCTTGGTTTAATCATACTTGACACGAAAAATGGACACTCCATTTAACAAAAATTCCTCACAGGAAAAACTCTCAAAGAGACAACAAAAATGACCACTCAAGGGTGCTTAAGAAATTCGGCCAAGCCTCCTATTTATAGGCTTAGAATTTTCGGCCAGCACCACTAAAAAGAAGACCAATTAGGACTCTCTAATCTTATCTCCCAAGGAGTAAAAGTAGAAGAGTACTTGATCTCTTTGACTCTATCTAAAATCTAGAAAACCTTATCTAAATGACTTATCCTCAAGTAGGATAATAACTAGAAGGAATCTAAGACTCCTAATCAAAACACTCTAGCTTAATTCAGTCCACATGACTTATTTAACTAGATAAAAATTCAAAAATTGACTCCTAGACTTAGCCTAACTCTAATCTCGAAATTCAGCTCCAAATTGTTGAAGTAAAATGTCTTGAACGCCCTTCCAAAAGTGGAATATTGGTCTTGCGCCCCTTGAGTTATAGAAAACTCCAATTTACTCTAAAACTTGTAGAATTCTCTTTATTGACTCCAAAAGATTGGAAAAACACTTGAAACAATTAAGATAGTTTGCAACCTATCCAATGGTGTAGCAATGGACTCAATCTTGAACACTTTGATCAAATAGGCCGTCCATTCAAGAACCTAAATGACTCTTCTCACTAGCTTGATCAATGATCTTCATGGAGCACACAGAGTCAAACTCTCTTGATACTCTTCAGCACTTATTTCTATGAGGTCTTCATCTCCTTTGGTTTGCACCCCAAAGTTAATGACATTCTCATCACCTTGATCATAGCTCCTTTGAACCAACTCCCTATCACATAGGTAGTCAAGATCCATCCTTTCTTCCTTGATTGGCCTGCAAAGTAAACTTGGCATTCCAAAACTAGAATGAAGAACTAGCTCATTCCCCTCACTAGGAGAACCTCCATGGAAGGCTACATGATTCTCATCAGAAGAGGTAGAAGGTTGGACAAGCAACGTTTGGCATTCAAAAATTCCCTTAAAAATTTCGGTTTTCATGTGGAAATAAAATACTTCCTTTCCTTGAAGTTTTAAGTTGTATGGGTTTACAAGTACTCCCTTCGATGTGCCTTGCTTGCGAAGATGGAGGAGATGATATTGCACATTGTTTCCGTGGTTGTGCTTTTGCGACACATATTTAGAAGCACTTCCCTTCATAGTTTTATGGACTAATGTTTTCAAATATTTTACATATGCCCCACAAGTTGTACTTTTCTTCAATTCAGTCCTCAAAGTTGCTTTTCTGCTCCATTTCCACTTCAAATCTTCAAACTCACTCTATTAGCTTTAAATCCTACAAAAGAAATAAAGTAAGTAAATAGTCCCTAAAACTATTGAAAAGCAACAAATTCTTATTAAAATGGTAGGAAATTAAGTCTATAAATTGCATTATCAATAGTAAAAAGATCAAAATCATACCATGTTGCTACTTTTCCTTTGGCATCACATAAATGAGAAGTTTCCTAGGAAGTTTCCCCCTCTCTTTTAGACTTTTGGGTTTGACCAGCTACGAGACTTACATCATTCACCCTCCTTCAGCTGGAACCTTGTCCTCAAGGTTAAAAGAAGGAAAGTCATGTTTGAAATCCTGAAGTGACTTCCAATTAGCGTTATGGGATGATCGTCCATAAATGCTGCCATCAATGAAGAGGGGACATGAGCCTTAGAAGGCAAACATTTTTTGAGGAGTGAAACATGGAAGACATCATGGATTTTGGCGGAGGCGGGCAAGTCCAGACGGTAGGCGACTGGGCCAATGCATTCCAGGATAGTGAATGGGCCATCGAAGTGCTTACTCAGCATATGGGATGGTCAATGTGCCAAGGAGGATTGACGATAAGGCTGGAGTTTCAAAAAGATAGAATAACCAATTGCAAAAAAATGTTGGTACGGCTGGTATTAGCTTGATTACGCATACAATTTTGTGCATGAAGCAGATTGGTCTTAAGAGTGGCCAGGATAGAGGTGCGTTGCTGAAGAAGTTCTTCACCAGAGGTAATGGTGGCAGTGGCAGAAACATAATCCAATAACTATGGGAGTGGGCGAACAAACATTGCTTCAAAAGGAGTCTTGCAGAGTGCCAAGAAGTATTATAGTGCCACTCAGCCCAAGGCAAGAAGGAGAGCCAGTGCTTTGGTTGATTAAACACAAAACAACGTAGATAATCCTCC